GCATGTGGATCCTGGGGGGCAGATCTAATAGCTTTTCTTTATAAAATTAAAAAATTAATTAAAATATAATTACATCTTTTCTCCCTTCCTTTTTCCTTCCAATTCTTCCCATGTACTCCTTCTTACTCCCCCTGTTTTTCTTTAATTGTTATTGTTTTACACACACACACACACACACACACACACACACACACACACACACACACACATACACACACACACACACACACACACACACACACACACCCCTAAATATATAAATATAACCTGATCAGTCTTTTAGTGTAACTTGTATGTGATTTCAGGGCTGACTCCTTGGTATTGGACAACCAACTGAGGGCTTATACCCGGGGAAGACTATTTCTATCACTCTTGGCTGCCTTAGTTGCCAGCAGTTCTCTGTCTAAGGGTGGGGGCCTCTGAGGCTTCCCAATTCCATGTTAGTGTGATCAGACAACATTTTTTATTAATGTTGTATTCTTATTTTTGAATAATATTTTCATGCACTGTTGGCTTTTACTTTTCAATCTTTTTTTTAAATTTATTTTTTGAGGTTATAGCATAATTCCATCACTTCCTGCTTCCCTTCCAGCATTTTCATAAGCCCCTGCATGTGTGTCTGCAGTTTCATGCAGGTGAACTTCTGGACATGCAAGGTTCATGTGTACTACTTACTAGGGACAGATCCATGCTAGTTTCTCAGTACTTGAATGTTCGAGTTTCTGAAAGTCCCCTAAGGCTCTGTCCATGGGAACAGAGATTATGCTCAGGTTTTGGTGACCTTTGTTCTTTTCCTCTGGTTTGTTGTTTTTCTCTTAATCCTACTTGGCCCCATGTGAAGTGAGCTTTGGAGATAAGCCCTTCTGGGGGGGAGGGGCTAGGAGCACCTTTATCCTATTTCCTCTTTGTAAGAAAACATAAGTCCAGGGTTCAGCATTCTCCTCAGAAAAGATGTTTTCTTAGCCCAGACTCAAAGTTTCTGTGGGTACACATTCACTTAAATGGACTAGCTTCTTTATTAAAGTCCTATTAGCTCCAAATATTAAGAACCTTAATTATTTTCAGAACATCCAATGTAGAGATGCATATATAATATTTAATACAATAAATGTTTAAGTATTTATATAATGAATTTGAACAGTTTACTTTCACTCCCCTGCCTCAGGTTTCTCTTGTTTGACATGTAATGAATGCCTTAAAATTCTCAGACCACAAAGGGAGTGCTACAGCTTCAGTTCTATGTCACTCACTCATTTTGCCCCTCCCCGTTTGTCTCAATCTCTGTCTCTCCTTCTGTTTCCTGTTCAAGCTCAACAGAGAGTTTTCTTTTCTAGCTATTCAAGACTCTAACATTGTAGCCCCTATTTCTTTTGATTCTTCTTTGCATATCACTATTATATTTTCTGAAACCCTGGTCTTTCGGTCTTTCTCATATTCATATACAGACACCAGCTATCAATAGTGGCAATGACATTCTGTTCTTTGATGTGTAATGCTACAAGGTCATGGACATCTGGACATAGTTTAGATAATGTCTGTAGACACTGTTGTGTTCTAAGATCCTCAGACGTTGTATGCTTAAACCCAGTCCCGAAGTGATGGGCATTAGGAGGTAAAGCCTTTGAGAGGTAACTGGGTTTAGCTAAAGTTGGGAAGATGGCACTCGGGGCCCTTATAAAGAAGTGAAGAACCCAGAGCATTCGCTTTCAAACCATGTAAGGATGCACCACGAAGCTGACTGTATGCAAACTGGAAAGCATACCCTCAACAGTAGCCTTCTGTGCTGACATCTGCTCTAGACTTCCAGAATTGTGAGGAGTAACCATTTGCTCCTTAGTCTATCTATTTTTGGTAGTTGCTTATAGCAGCTTGAGTTTAAGACATGAGCTGTATCAGTATGCACAATGTAGCTCTTTCCTGTCATCCTGAAACATCAATTTCTGCCCTGCTGACTCCTGACTGATGCTACAAATTATAGGTTATATACAGTGTGTGTATGTGTGTATGTGTGTGTGTTCCTGCTTATTGGTATCAATCCTAGTATCAGTGAGTAAAAATAGATTGTACTTTAGTAGTCTAGCCTTAATATAAACCTATAATATAAAAAGTTTACTTGAAATAACGTAAACAAAAAGGTATCAGAGACAATTGGATATACAATGTCGGCAGCAGGAGTGAGAGCTGGAGGCAGCTCCATGCTGCAGCTGTCTGAGAGGTTTTTTTTTCCCACAGACTCCCCACTCAGGTGAGGCTGGAATTCTTGACTTTACTATAAAAGAATTTCAGAACAAGTCATTATGCAGCAGAGTTGGAGTTTATTAAACAAAGATTTTAATGTAGGTTTAAATATGGGCTTTAATACAAAGAGAGGTGTTTAGGGCAAAGAATAGTACATACCTGAGTGTGGGTGCAGGTTTCTCAAAGACAGAATCATACATATTGCCTAAGCAATCACCACGAATATGATTTTGCATTTATATCCTGAAGGGTTTCTGAGTCTCTCCCTTTTCAGTAAATGAGATGGTAGGGTGGGTCTATGGGCCAAGAAGGGGTGAAGAAATGCTTACGATATGAGGTCACAAGGGAGTTGAGGCATGTTTTTATTGTAAACAAAGTTTATAGTCTGATGGGAGACTTACAGAAAATCACTGTTTTGCAGCTGCGTCATAATATGGTCATACTCAAAGGTTAAATCCTCTTGGGCCTTAAGCAAGGACTGTTGTTGTTTTAACACTCTTACTTGAAATATCTGTATGAAAACAGAACATAGTCTGCATGTAATCAATCTTCATAACAAACTCTGCTAATGTGCTGGCATTCTTGATTCTCAGCTGGTGAGAGACTTCACCTTCTAGAGTGCTTCTTTCCTTTTCTGTCCCCTTAACTCTTCCTGTCTTTCTGCCCTAGGCTCAGGGTTAGTCTTCCCTGTGCACAGTCCCTGTTCACTCTTTCTGATCACCTACCTGCACCAAGCCTCACACTAAAACTAGCCACTCTCTGTCTTTAGAGAGGGAAACTAACCTCTGGGTGTGTTGGCTTTCAAGTCTAGATGCAAGTCTAGATATGGCTTTAGCTAAAACAAATGTAAGAAAGAAACAAGAAAACTACACCATTAACTTGTTGAGAAAAAGATTTTGTTCATAAGCATAATCAAAGAAGCGCCTTTCTGTGGTTTGCCTAGCTTCATTGCAGGTTGAAATGAAGCTGAAATGTGTTTCATGAAAATGTGTCCTGCTAGGTGAAGCTTTTGTCCATCCTCTTCTAAGCCACAATATGGTTATGCAGTTCAGGCTTATGATACAGAATAAATGAATAAGCAAACAAATATAAAAATCAGAGTTTGTGCAATTCTTATAATTTACAAATTACTGACTCCAAAAGCACATTTTTAAATCTATAAACATTCCATGAATAATCATCAGATATGTTCCCATTTTATATAGTCAGGGAAATAAAAGATCAAGAAAGATTGAGCAGTTTGCCCAATGTTGTTGGTTGGTCTTTGGTCTTTTGGGGGCCCTGCCACTTAGCTCTCAAATAAAGCACATGCAGAGGCTTATTCTTAATTATAAATGTCTGGCCTTAGCTTGGCTTATTATTATCCAGCTTTACTTAAATTATCATGTGTAGCTTTTGTCTTTGGGCTTTTACCTTTCTCTATTTCTATATACCTTTCATTATTTCTTACTCCATATCTGGCTGTGTAGCTGGGTGGCTGGCCCCTGATGTCCTTCCTCCTCCTTCTCTGGCTACTTCTCTTTCTTTCCAGATTTCTCCTTCTATATATTCTCTCTGCCTGCCAGCCCCACCTATCCTTTCTCTTGCCTTGTCATTGGTCATTCAGTTCTTTATTAGATCACCAGGTATTTTAGACAGGCAATATAGTAGCACAGCTTCACAGAGTTAAACAAATGCAACATAACAAAAGTAACACACCTTAAAATCATGTTCCCCAACAGCCTAAGTTCTTGAAACTAGCAAAAAGGGGACTCTTCTAACACCAAGTTTAGTGTTTTTTACCAAAGTTACTACTCCATTTGTATTGTCGGTTAGCTGTCAGTGTCATGCTATTAGTAGGGTTAGAGGGTCTTGAGCAAAGTATGTCATAAGTTGTTTGTTATTAACTGTTCACAGAATGTTCTATGGAGAGCTGTAAAATGTCTCTGATAGTTAATCCTGATCACCATCCCAGGAATGGTTTGTCAATAGAGGCTTATAAAATATTAGTCAGCCTTGAGATGTATTTAAATTATATTTTAAAGAACTCAGTTGTAGGGCCAGTGAGTTGACTCAGCAGGCTAAGTTTCTTTCTGCCAAGCCTGAAGGCTTGAGTTCAAGCCCCAAGACCCACAGAGTGGAAGGACAGAATCAGCTTTGGCAGGTGTCCTCTGACCTGTACATAGGTACCATATATGCTGCACATATGCACACACACACACACACACACACACACACACACACACACACAGATATAGATAGATAGATAGATAGATAGATAGATAGATAGAGAATGAGAATACACACAAAAATGTAAAATATGTCTTTGTTTGCTTAGTCAATCTTCAGGCTTCTCACTGTATGTTAAAATAATCAAATGAATGATAAGTAAGATGTGGTACATTTGCATGGTAGATTTTATTGAGCCATGAAGAATGATAAAATTGTGGCCATGGTAGGGAAACTAATGGGACTGAGGCTCCAACCTATTTCACTCAGTCCGATATAACTCAGAAGACAAATATTGCAGGTTTTCTCTCATATGAAAATCTAGAATTTATATATGTGACATAAATGTAGAGGGACTGGGGGGACTACCGTGCATGAATATTAGAGAATGAGAGAAAGTAACAGACTGGAGAATACAGGCAAAGTACCAAATCTGTTATTTTTTTTTACTCATTAAATTATAAGTATATTAAAAACAATTAAAACTAAGCCAAGAAAAAAACCCGTCCAACCACAATGAATTTAAAGCAAAAATGAAGTTCAAATTTTAAAGATAGATCTTTAAAAATGTTTATTTCTATGAAGTAATTACTCAGTAGAGAAAAAGAGGAGCTGTGAAAGCACACATTCAAAAACACCGCACTGGAGGATTTAATGTGAAGTCTTGACTTTTGTTGTTTTGTTGTACGGAAGTATTACAGAAGGCTGAGTAGTCATGCTTCTGACAGTGCATTTTTATCAGAGATAATAGGTTTACCATTGAAGGGGAACATCTCTGCAAAAAAAGAAAGAAAGAAAGAAAGAAATATAATTACAAACCTTAGCATAGTTTCAAAAGGTCTCAACACAACTCTGCTCCTGAACAAACTCCATGACCTTTGTAAAATAAGCCAAAATGTATTTTCCTCTAGGAGGTAATTTGTGTTCAAGGTATTACTACAGAATGGGGCTCAAAGATACAGGCAATATTATTGTCATGCACAAATCTAGCATCTTTAGAAATAAAATATACTAAAAGCCAGCATTCAGCAATGTGCTGTAGGGAGTTTATTTTGGATTCTTGGAATGGGAGAGAGAGAGAGAGAGAGAGAGAGAGAGAGAGAGAGAGAGAGAGAGAGAGAGAGAGAGAGAGAAAGAAGAAAGGCAGAGGAGGGAGACGCCAGCACCGCCAGGAGAAGCAAGATGTGAAAATATAGGTAAGTCACGGCCACATGGCAACTCATAGATAAATAGAAATAGGTCAGTTTATAAGAGCTAGCTAGCAAGATGCCTGCCATAGGCAATGCAATTGGTAATTAACTAATATTAAGTCTCTGAATGATTATTTTATAAGTGGCTGTGGGACCACATGGCCGGGTGGTACTGGAGAAACCTTCCAGCTACAAAGGAGAGAAAGAAAAAGACTTCATAGTCACTGAACTGATATCCTCTTTGCAAGTCATTTAACAACAGTCCATTCTTTGTCTGACCCAGAAAAATTTTAGAATATTTATTGATTTGTGTGTGTGGAGGGGTGGGTGTGCAGGTGCACACATACCATGGTACTCATGTGGAAGTCAGAGGACAACTTTTGAAAGTTGGTTGTCTCCTACCATGTGGTCCTGGGGATGGAACGCAGGTCCTCAGGCTTAGTGGCAACGCCTTTACCAATTTCAATACTTTTCTAGTTAGATAGATACATATTTAAATCAACAGTGATGGCCCAAATAAAAATAAAGCTTAAAAACTAAATAGAAAAGATACAGTGGGATCCAGGTGTGGTGATATACTAACCCCAGAACTTGGGGTGGAGACTGAAGGAACACCATGAGTTTGAGGCCATACTGCTCAACATGGCAAGTTCCAGGCCAGTCTGGGTCACATAGCAAGATCATGTCTCAAAAGGACAAACCAAAAGTATAGAGAGTAGGAATGATTGAAATATCCAAATGTATATGAATATACAAATGTACTTTTAAAAGACAGTGATTATTAAAGTGTATTTTTAAAATTCTGTCTATCTGTAGGCTTTTCTTTTCACAAGAGACACAGTGAAATTGCCAAGTCCCAGAAAAACTGGAAGAATGACACTTTTTTGGTGAGGCGGTTCAGAGTGCAGCGGCAATTTCTCTCGCATTTGTTGTCCTGCTTTGACCCTGTTACCAGGTGGCCTGGAAAGCTGCTAACTTCCAGTGGTGTCCAGATGAAGAGAAGATGCCTTACCAGCCAGCCTGCCATACAAAAGCTTTGTAACCAGGACTCAGGTCCTAGTGGGCATAGTGATGGTTGGAGTCTGTGTTAAATCAGAATGCTAGGTAGACCAGCAAGCTCTTCGGGAAACGACTTCAGCTATCTGAAGTATTGTGTGACCAACAACCCAAGTCTTTTGATATGTCTACTCAAAGGGCTGGATCCTCCCAAATACTTTCATTTGTTGTAGACATTTTTGTGGTTTTACACACATCCATAATGGTTATACACAAAGCCAATGGGGAAATAATGGACTTTCATGACATCAATTTCAAAAACAATGAAAAAAATGAATTAGAATTCCTTCAAAGTCTTTTCACAGGTCATGCCTCTCTGCTGGAAATTATGCAAGAGATGAAATATAAAGCATGGAAAAAATATAAAAATAAAATAATTGTTGCTGACAATTTAAAATAGTGAGGAGATGGGCTGGAGACACGGCTCAGTGGTTATTAGCACTTTCTACTTACATAGACAACTAGGGTTTGGTTCCTAGCACCAACATCAGATGGCTCATAACCACCTAACTCTAGTTTCAGGGATCTAATGCTGTCTGCTGGCCTCCATAGGCATTGTACACATGTGGTACATACACATACATCCAGGCACACACCCATACACACAAAATTAAAATAAATATATCTTCAAAATAAAATAAGAGCAGGGGAAAAGGTAGCAGAATATAAGAAAAACTAAAACGTACAATAAACATTCAACCTGTGTATACAGAGGTCATCTGTAACAACTGGCCAGTTCTCACAGCCCTCAACTTAGGTTAAGTCTTGCATTGTGATTAATAACTTGTGCTTTCAGGGAAAGACTCTCTTTGGACAATGCATTCACAATTATTTTCTATGTGGCTCAGCTCTTTGAAATTGTATTATTAAATATGTACCCACATGAGCATTCCCTATTAAAGTTTCAGTCTTCGGTGTGATGGTCTATGTAGCTCTGAACATAGGAAATGGATTCTGTATATGCTCCTACACAGACCACAACTTTGGCAGAAATGACATGGTTGATCAAATAGAAATGCTACAACCTGTCTTCCTCCATCATTCTTTTCCAACTAATCAGTAACTCCTTTAGGCAAATGCAGCTTTAGGTCATAAAAAGCTCCTGGAATTCACTGGTTGGAAAGAATGCTAAGTCACACAAATGGTGCATTAAATTTTTAAATTTTTATTTTATTATTTCATGTGTATAAGTGTTTTCCTGAATGTCTGTGTGTGCACCACATGTGTGCAGTGCCCAAAAAGGCCAGAGAAGGGTGTTGGAATCCCATGGAACAGGAGTTACATGGGGCTGTGAGCTGTCCTGTGGGTGCTGGAAATCAAACTTGGGTCCTTTGCAAGAGCAACCCATGCTCTTAACCACAGAGCCATTTCTCCAGTCTCAAATGATGCATTTTTAAGCTGATGTTTTTCTCCTTGATATATTGCATAACCAATCCTTTCCCTCACATTTAGTGTATAGTTTCTTATTGGGGAATTTCAGATTGATTTTAATCTTTCAGAATTGTCGTTTGAGGAATTTTTAACTTTAGGGTTTTTTTTTTTTGTGTGTGTGTCTCTGGAGATTTCAACTTTCAGAAATGTACCATTTGAAATGATATCTTCATGATATTGGCATCATGTGACGCCACAGGACAGTCATGATTAGGCATTGTCCTTGTTTTATCAGTAATCCAGATAGTCTTATCATTATTTCCTTATGAATAAAAGTGTTTTTCAAACTGTCCTGATGAAGATCCTCAAAGAAATACCATCATCATTGGTGCCATCCCTGAACATAAACTCTCTTTTCCACACACATTTGCAAAGAATATTTGGCAGTGAACACACCTGCACTGAGACACACCTGCACTGTAGCAGTGCACTGTGACAGACCTGCACTGGTACACATCTGCACTGTGATAGACCTGCACTGGGACACATCTGCACTATGACAGATACACCTGCACTGTGACAGACACACCTGCACTGTGACAGACCTGCACTGGTACACACATGCACTGTGATAGACCTGCACTGGGACACACCTGCACTGAAACACACCTGCACTGTGACAGACACACCTGCACTGTAGCATGGCACTGTGAAACTGAAACAGGAAATTGGAGTCTGATTTTGCTAGAAAGCTTTGGTTCCTTACCTGGGTTCACAAGACAGCTGAATGCATATGGAAGCCTGGTGTCTCTGCTCTCATTTCTGTCTGTCTGCTTGACTTTGGGATCTTCTTGTTGCCATGGTCTATTAATTGTTCAAGGCATGTGTATCTAGTTCATCTCTTCCTTATTCTAGGCTCAAGGTACAGAGAGAAGTCATTGCCCCAATCTACATTTGCTTTGGATTTCAAGAATAGCAGACCCCTGGAAATATAATATCCTTATTCCCATGATGCTGTGGGATGTCTTTCTGTATGTTGTGAATATGTGTTGTTCTCATTGGCTAACAAATAAAGCTGTTTTGGCTTATGGCAAGGAAGCTTAGAGGTAGGCGGGAAATCCAAGCAGAGATATGGAGAGAAGAAAGGAGAGTTGAGTGACACCTAGTCGCCTCCCAAGGAGCAGCAAGATGCCAGCAGCCCTGTAACACCACGGCCACGTAGCAAAACATAGATGAACAGAAATGGGTTAATTTAAGATGAAAGAGCTAGCTAGCAAGAAGCCTGCCATAGGCCATACAGTTTGCCAATAATATTAAGCTTCTGAGTGATTATTCTATAAGAGGCTGCAGGACCATGGGGCTAGGCAGGGTCTCAGGGCCAGGCAGGACCAGAGAAATGTACTACTACACCATGAGGGCAATTATCTATAAGAGTGAGACCACACCCTGGAGCAGAACTGATCTCCTGAGAACCACCTTGCCCTCCTTGAATTAAGGATGCGGACCTCCTTGCAGGAACAGAGCTGACAGCTTGGTCAAGGATGTTAACCACATCTAGGCCAGGGCTGCTTAATTATGCATGCCTCTTAGCCACCTTGCCCCAACCCCTGTTGCTAGAAAACACCTTCAGACTCTTTGTAGAGCTTTCTGATTTTTCAGAATTTGCCAAAGTCAGCAACTTGCATGTCAGTTTTGAAGATAGTGTATCTTTCATTGTAGTCCAGCAAACAGGTTGCTGATGAAAATTTGGACACTAACTCAGTTCTCTTTCCTTATTGTTACCCTCCCCTGACTCCATCTCTCTGAATTTCCACCCCTTCCCCTTTTTCTGTCCTGTGAGAACTATAGATAGAAAGAATATCTGTGAGAACTATAGATACAGAGAACACTTGCGAGATGTGAAAAATCAGGATATTCTTCCATAGCCGTGGGAAAACTGACTTTGACCCTTAGTCTATAGACCAAGATCCTTATGGAAAGTTCAAGGTATTTCCCGATGGAGCAGGAGAGATGGCTCAGTGGTTAAGGACACTTGCTGCTCTTGCAGAGGACCTGGATTTGATTTTCAGCACTCAAAGTTCGTGTCTTACAACCACCTGTAACTCTAGTTCCAGGACATCCAACATCTTTTGCTGGACTCTGTGGGCACCTGCACATGTAGTGCACATATATACACTCAGGTGCACATATTAAACAAACAAACAAACAAATAAATAAATAAATAAATATTTTGAAATGCCGGGTGTGATGATGCACACCTTTAATTCCAGCAGTTCTGAATCTGAAGCAGAGCAGATGGATCTCTGTGAGTTCCAGGCCAGCTGGGACTACATAGTGACCCAGTCTCAAAAGAAATTTTTTTCTGTCTAGATCTTTATATCTGTTTTTCTTTCCTCTTCCCTTTTGCATCTCAGGGAGCCCAGGGGTGCCTCACCCTCTCTTTAGCTTGTCTCACAGTTCACAACTTTGGGAGCTGTCGTCATACGGTAGAGAGAAAGAAATAGAAAGGCTAGTCAAAGTCAAAAGCAGCAAGTGGCACTCACCCTGAGCACACAGAGTAAGGGATGCAATTTCCTAAAGTGTTCTGTGAGCTGTGAGACTAATTTCCATGCTCCAGTTCTCTGTGCATGGGCTGATTCTGAGGCTGCCTCCACCTCCCAGGACTCCTGTGTGATTATTGGGATTCTTCTACATGTTTGGATCATTTTATTTTTTCCTTAATTACTTTATTTTCTATTTTCTCTGTCTCAGAGAGCTCCTCGACTTTATCTGTCTAAAGTGCCTTATCATCCTGTTATCATATCTTTTCTGCCTTTGAGTATTCATGTTTTCTGGGGCTGGCATGATGGCTTAACAAGTAAAGATGATTGTCGCCAAGCCTGATGACCTAAATTGAATCTCAAGAACCCAATGGTGGAAGGAAAAACTAACATCTGCAAGTTATTCTCTGACCTTCACAAGCATGCACATGCACAAGCATGCACATGCACGAGCATGCACATGTGCATACACACACGTGCAAATATAAATGTTTAAAAAAACTTTTTAATTAAGGAAATAAAGAGCCATCTACTCTCCTCCCTCTTGTTGAGTTTTTCTGTTCCACTTATTATTTATAGCATTCTAATAATGAAGTATCAATACCTCATTATCAAAAGCAGCTGCTCATTAGAAAGCATGCCACTGGAGAGCTTTAAACTGCAGGGACAGCCAGTGTTCCCAGGGATCACAGACTCTACTACATCTGTCAGACTTCACTTTCCCAACCTTAGGATAACAACTTTAAAAACAGGTAACATTTGGTGTCTTCTTAACATTAGCCGTTTCTAACCCAATAGCCCTTAATATGGTTATTTTGATACTTGTGTCTGCATTTTTCTGTATTCATTTCTACTATAGCCATTCCTGACAATGAAGCCAGTAATAAGCTAACAGAGAGTGAATATAAACACAAAGGAAGAAAAGGAAAAGGTACAGTTTCCACCCTAGACTCTCAACCTTAGCTCTCTAATGTAAGATAAACACACGAAATGGCCTTCACTGCAATGGCTGACGTCATGGCGACTTGAGCCTCACTTGCTGGGTTAAAATCCAGGTTCATCCACTCTCTAGATAAATAACTTCAGGCATATTTTCCCTTCTGTGTAACTATTTCCTTATCTGTACAATGAGAATATTTCGTAAGGTTTCTATTGGAGACAAATTAACTCATTCTAGTGTAGATCTAAGAAAATGGTCTGCTCTATACAAATGTACAAAGCACCTTGGACTATTATTATCTCATTCCAAAACAATCTGAAAATAAAGTTATAAAATACATGGTAAACTAACACAATACCTAACAGTTACAAATTCCTCAACCCGGCAGTGTTTACCAAGGGCTTCCTTGGCTTTAGACGCTAATCTAAACACAGGAGCACAATAGTAGGGTAAATAAACTCTCTGCTCTGGGGTCTACATTCTGCTGGAGAGAGACAGAAAGTGGACAGAAAAAGCACTAAAATATAAAGTTTTCAGTTGACAGTTGTTAAAAATGAAAATCATTTTAGAAGAGTAAAATGCCATGTGTCCTACTTTGGTTATGTTAGTCAAAGACCCCTTATCAACCAACATTCATTTCTCCTCAAGTTAGCTAAGAAAGGAAGTGGAACATTCTAAATGGAGAGTGTCAATGCCAATCTCATCATATTTAATTGACACTTAGTAATTGTTAAACACAAATAACCTTTGACATGGTATAACTATTACTCTCATAAAAACCAAGCAATGACAAATCTATGTTTATTATTTCGTTAGTGCTTTTAGAGAACACATCACTCAGGGTAGAGAGGCAGCTCAGCATATGTGATCTCAGGCTGTTCTTGCAGAGGCCAAAAGTTGGGTTCTCAGCACCCATGCTGAGCAGCTCACAAACACCTGTGCCTACAGCTCCAGAGCATCCGATGTTCTCTTCTGGCCTCTAAGGCCATTGCATTCAAGCGCACAAGCTCACAAATGGACACACTTAACACATAATTAAAAATAAAAACAAAACCTTTCTGCTGGGGATGTCTTTCTGTATGCTGTGAATGTGTTGCTCTGATTGACTGAAAAAACACTAATTGGCCAGTAGCCAGGCAGGAAGTATAGTATAGGCGGGATAAACAGAGAGGAGAATTCTGGGAAGTGGAAGGCTGAGTCAGGAGATGCTGCCAGCTGCCACCGCCATGAAAAGCAAGATGTAAGGAACCAGTAAGCCACAAGTCATGTGGCAATGTATAGATTAATAGAAATGGGTACCTTTCAAAAGAAATCAATCACTTTAATCCTTTTAAAGTTATTTTCATCAAGAAACATTAATAGAGTTCATCCTATGGATAATATTTTAGTCATGGTATACAACATGAAAATCATTGTTTATACAAATTATGTCTTTAATTTTTTTTATATCTTCTATACACACAAATACACAAATGCTGCTGGGCACCACTTAGAACTTAGAGGGTGAAAGATATGTTCAGATACATACCAACATTCAAACCTAAGTCTTTGACTGTAAATATGGATGTTTTTCATACTTCAAAAAATGCAAATAATATTTTAATTGCATATATTCTGCAGTTTCTTAATCCTTAAATATGTATTACTAGTCATGTCTAATTTTTATTTGCATTCCTTAGGACTATAGTATGCAAAATTATTTCATTGGCTGCATTAATGGCATTTCAAAACCTTTGCCTGTCAAGTGGGTTATTTTCATGCTCAGTGCCTTGGGAGCTCAGCAATTCCTTTTCTATTGAAAAAGCTGCTCTTGGCAAATCAATTACTTAATACATAGACTTAAACTGAGGGAAGAGGAAATATTTTCAACTGCAAAGAATAGGTCAGCATAAAACCTAGACATTTATGAATGTATTTAAAGGAAGCACTGGAATGTTGCTATCCCACAATATAGACCAGGAGACACGCAGCACTTGCAGGTGTGGACAGGTTAAATGAATATTCAAGCCACTGGAACATGCTGGTTCTTACAGTGGGCCAACACCTGGAGCCTTCAAATGTCCATGCTGTTCTGCAGAGATCTCTGGGGATTCAGTGGAAAGAGAGTCATTCTTTGGAGGATGGGGCAAAAATAAAAATCTTGTTCATGGGGTTGGGATCCAGCTCAGTGGTAGAGCACTTGCTTAGCTTGTGAGAGGCCCTAGGCTTGATTAACACACACACACACACACACACACACACACACACACACACACACACACACACACATACACACATTCACATCCTTTGTATACAAGTTTGTTTTTTATGGTGTGTGTGTGTATATATGTGTGTGTGTGTATGTGTGTGTGTGTATGTGTGTGTGTGTGTGTGGTGTGTGTGTGTGTGTGTGTGATGTGTAGGTATGGTTGTACCACAGCATACATGTAGAAGTCA